CCCCAAAACCCCAAAACCCCAAAACCCCAAAACCCCAAAACCCCTAAATTATTTTTCTAAATTGAATAAAATTTAACTAAATTCAACTTATGTCAAATCTGGTAGATCCCCTCAAAGTAGGAGCTTATGGCGTAAAGAGGCCCTTGGAGGAAAAGCAAGACAAAATCAAAGAGCTTGAGGCCAATCATAAGAGGTACTACCCCATCGATAACCATGGCCAGCTAGATGAATGGGGTGCCGTTATTAAATACCAAGAAGAACAATATAAGAACGAAATGGAAAAGAAACGCCTCGAACGGAAGCAACATCAGCAACAATACTTCGCCGAACTTTCGAAAGGAATTGAGGATAAATAAGAGGCATAATAATTTCGACAAAATGGTTCATGACAATGATGCCAGTGCAATGCTCAATAAACAGAGAGAGGTTCAACTCCTCCAAAGAGGATTACAGGAACGCCAGAATGAAGATAAGGCCATGCTTGGTCAGATCTACCAAACCCAGATAGACCAGAAGAATAAAAGGCTTAATAATGAACTTCAGATGGAAAAAGAACTTGAAAGAATGCAAATAGAGCGAGTCAAAGGCATCGATCCTGATGCATACAATAGAATGAGAAAAGAAGCCTACCAAAAGGAAGTCAGAGAAGACCTAGAACAGCGCAAGAAGATGAAGCAATATGAAGAATCCATGCGAATGAACTCTGTCAGAGAATCCAAGAAGATGATAGACGATTATTCCAGAAAAGAGCTACAAAATGAGCAAGAGTATAAGAGGAAATTTGCAAAATTTGATCAAGGAATGATCAATCGTCAAAAGAACTATAGTAATTATGTCATAAAGCCAACTCTTGAAAAGCAAAGTAAACTTGACTTGATCGAAAATAAAAACGTTACCTTATATAACCAGAAAAGAGCAGAGAACGAGCTTGAGAGAGAAGCTTGGAGGAAGGCACAGCTTATGAGTACAGTCACTGAGCAAAAGAACCAGATGAGTGAGCATCATAAGATGAAAGGACTTGATAGCGAATTTAGAAAACTTGAAACTCAAAATACATCAGCTAGGGTCAATGAAATAAACACATTTGACCAGATGTTGAAGGAAGATAAGAAGAAAAGACAGAATATGTACAGAGAAATGCTCTCTAACCAGATTCAATACAATAAAAATCTCAAAGCTATGGGGAATATGACTTATGTTGAGAAGAAGATGAATAGAGCTGATCTCCGAGCATATAAGCATTATGGAGCCGTACCTAAAGATGAAAAAGCATCTTCCAAGAAATCCCTAACTTATGAAGAGCAACAAAGAAGGTTAGATGCTTATGGCTATGGAAGGTACATAAGTAAAGCTCCTTCTGTCAATGTAATCGAGAACTATAATGATAGTGCAGCATTTGGTAGAGGTTCTAAGAATATGCAAGGGCTCAATAAGTCTTACACAGTTGAAGCTCAGCCATATCGAGATACAACTAAGAAAAGAGATCTTTCAGCAGCTCCTCGATCTAGGAGACATATGAATTCTTCAAGAGGTCTAGCATCAGAAAGATCATTGAGGAATGCAGGAGCGGTTTCTGTTTCACAAGAAAGAAAACCTGCTGGTAGTCCTAGCGGGATCTATCAATACACAAATCAAGTTTTGTAGCCTCTTTTATTCAATTTAACGAACGAAAAATGGGGTTTTGGGGTTTTGGGGTTTTGGGGTTTTGGGG